ATATTCTAGCGTAGTAACAATACTATCATCATTCTTATATTTCCAGATTATTCACACATAAAAATAAATGATCCAAACTCTCGCAGGTAGTGTAATATATTCTAGCGTAGTAACAATACTATCATCATTCCTATATTTCCAGATTATTCACACATATAAAAATAAATGATCCAAACTCTCGCAGGTAGTGTAAGATATTCTAGCGTAGTAACAATACTATCATCATTCCTATATTTCCAGATTATTCACACATATAAAAATAAATGATCCAAACTCTCGCAGGATGTGTAAGATATTCTAGCGTAGTAACAATACTATCAAGAATTAGCTACAGTTTATTGTCTGTAATTACAGTATTACACGATCAGTTATTGCCGAATCTGGATATATATATATAACACCATAGATTGACTAATTAATAAGGTTATATACATCATAATATGCTTCTATACAAAACTTTTAAAGACCAATGAACCAATTCGGTCAATTTATATATAATAGCATTTAAAACGTTGTCTGTCGGATTTAAGCAATTTCAAAATAAGGAAGAATACCATCATTTAAGCTATCGATGCTATAACTGTTCTACTAATTATAATCATTAAATTGACGGAACATTTGATAATTACTGGGACTAGCTTAGACTTTAAAATTGATGTATACTTATGATGCTTGAAAATATAGCGATTTTTATCCAGTTCGATAGTTAAACTAACCAAAATACTATTGATACGCGTATGATATAACCTTACAGGTTAACAATTAAACAACAGAAATTCGACATGAAACGTATGTCTGAAAGAAGTTGAATTAAGCCCACAAATAATGCAAACCAGCGAAATGTACGATTAGCTAGTTGAATTTATTTTTAACAAATCAAACACTGTGTTAACTTGATCTTGAAAAGTTACATCAATCATTAAATATTTCGATTATCTGGATTCAGTGTTACCTCGTGATATAATAACTTCTCACAATAAAAGGCATTTCTTGCATAAACCTTTTAACTTACATCAGCATATATATATCCTACCTTTGGGTGAACGGGCTTAGCTATTCCATCAAACTGCCGAATATAGACATTTTAATAAGACAAGTTAAATAAGTTGTATAAATCAGGCGGCTAACACTGGCGTTAAAAACATTTGATATCTTACAGAAAGAGGAGGGTCGTAACAAGTTATAGTAATCATTGCCAGCAATGATTTATGTTTCTGAAGCGTGTTAAAATGTAGTTTACAAAATCCAAGAACTCAGCGATAGGGTTCAAAATACTAACGGGTGACATTCTCCGCCAACGCTACCCTCGCGAACACTAGAAACTTTGTTGATAAGGTTTCACGTGCTCGGGATAACTATTCTACCGTTCGTTCTGTGTTATGCCTCTCACGCGCAGCCGCGGTTCTATCGCGTGCCCAGGAGTATCAACTTTGAACTTAGAACGCTTAGAGACCCGAGATTTTACGTAAAATATGAGACACTACATTTAAACTATACTCTAACAGTTCGGAAAATCCTAAAAAGGAAGATCTTGCTACGACTATGGAATATGAAAGCTATGCGTTTAAACACGAAGAGAAATACTTTCTGTAAAACCCATATAACGTTTAAGTAAAACCAATACAGTACTTTAGTGAAGTAACAACTAGGTATAAATTTTAATGAAACTTAGATACGACAGTAAAAAAAAGTAATAGCGTGTTTGTAAAAACGTGTTATAAAGTTGTTACATTTACCAAACTGTTATATATTTATTACGCTATTATTATACAAGTGTAAACGTTTTCATTCATTTCATGAGTATAAACAAATTGAGAAAATAATGTCTATTCGAGATATAAGTGTCTTATTCTTACACATGTTTAATTGTTTATGTTATACTGGGCATTATTACAGAAAGTTGTTTAATTCTTTATGTTATACTGGGCATTATTACAGAAAGTTGTTTAATTCTTTATGTTATACTGGGCATTATTGTAGAAAGTTGTTTAATTGTTTATGTTATACTGGGCATTATTACAGAAAGTTGTTTAATTGTTTATGTTATACTGGGCATTATTTCAGTAAAACCAGTATAACGTTTCAATAAAACTAGTAACATATTTCAGTAAAACCAGTATAACGTTTCAATAAAACTAGTAACATATGTCAGTAAAACCAGTATAACGTTTCAATAAAACTAGTAACATATGTCAGTCATATGTTACTAGTTTTACTGAAATGCTATACTAGTTTTACTGAAATGTTATATGGGTTTTACTGATGTATGTTACTGGTTTTATTGAAACGTTATACTGGTTTTACTGACATATGTTACTAGTTTTACTGAAATGCTATACTAGTTTTACTGAAATGTTATATTGGTTTTTACTGATGTATGTTACTGGTTTTACTGAAATGCTATATGGGTTTTACTGAAATGTTATATTGGTTATACGAAACAGTGCTGAATATTTATGTAAGTTACTTAATATAAAAATTGTATTTCTAATTACAGAACGGAAAACAGCAGTCGTGAAGTATCTACACAGCTTGTCTCTATAAATAAATAATAATAATAATAATGATAAAAAAAATGGATGGGAAGACGCATCCTGATATTGTTTTTTGGTCAGGAGAAACCGCTTCCTTATAGTCAGCCAACTCTACAATAACCCTAACAACGGAACCAGTTATACTTATTAACACGAGTTGGAAAGAAGAAGCTTGTGTCAGTCACTACATTGCTAAACACTCATTAGTAACTCCCACAAAGTGCGCAGACAGAGAATAAAATGTTACGAAGCAATTTTCTGCTTTACTCATCCACGATCAGCAGTCTCGGTTGACTTACAAGTCCCTTAGCAACGTGGTACTAGGCGATATAACACCACAGCTCATCGTGATCAGGTTCGGGCAAAGAAAACCATTTAAAAACAGAATAACTTTTTTCTTTTTTAATATTTTAATTTATATGAAACTTAACCTAAAGTAATGCTCATGTCCAAAAATAGACAAAGAATGGTGGAAACATTAGTTAGGGAAGTCTAAATCCACCTGGGAAGTCTAAACTCAACTGGGAAGTCATTTATTATTTCATTCTACGTTACCTTTTAGGCCGTAGACACTTTGGTAAATACTATTTTTTTTCCCCCTGTTACTCTGTGGAGTTTTTTATTCCCCTCTTTACAACGTTTCTGCACTAAAGCAAGGCTCCCTAGTCGTCACGGGATCTGTATATAATTTTCAAAAACATTGATTATAGCCTCTAAAACCGGGACATTGTAGGTAGGTTCTTAGTGTGGTTAAGACTGTTAAAAGATTACTAATTTGAAATAAGCACTGAACTGAAATACATGTCCTCCATTTTATTAAAGACTGTATTCTTTACGACTTATTCTGTTATAACTTTTACAGACGAACAAAGTTCACGACACATAACTTGTAATCCTGGGGGGGAGACAGCTCACGACACATAATTTGTAATTCTGGGGGAGACAATGTTCACGACACATAATTTGTAATTCTGGGGGAGACAATGTTCACGACACATAATTTGTAATTCTGTGGGGAAACTTTGTAATTCTGGGGGGAGACAATGTTCACGACACATAATTTGTAATTCGGGGGTGGGTGGGGGTGGAGATAAGATGTGATTTAGATGTAGAAATGGAACCAAGATCTGTTGAAATGTACACGTTATTCTCATGACAGATTCTGACTTTCCAGTCCCCCGGTGGGTCAGCGGTAAGTTTATGGACTTACGACCCTAAAATTAAGGGTTCGATAGCCAATTGTGCAGTTTTGCACAAAGAAAACAATAACAACTGACTTCTAGAATTTTTATGATGTTGCGTTAGGCTGTCCCATAGTCACGTTTATTGCACGGGTGATAAAATGAGTAGAGAGACGATGAGTCGGTCCATTTGATCCAGGACAGACTTCTGTATAGGAGAACGCACTTCAAGCATATGCGCGATTTGACACAAACAAATCCGTTGTTATACGCATGCGCTCTGAATCAGGGAGAGCGAACCATAAGTTTGGAACATTTCTTTGAAATTTTGCGAACTTATATTTCCTAATTTCTGTATTCCAAGCTTTAGGCAATTTTTACCATAAGTACAAAAGACGCAAATGTTTATTAACCAATCAGATCTACTTTTATAAATGCCTTACACTCTAATTATAAATATTTTGAATAATTAATATTAATTTCTGATCAGAGCCACCTACCTGCTTAGAGCGAAACTAAAAATCAATCCGATAATGAGTATAGCTAATTAAATTACTTACAAAGATTATAATTTATTGTTTCATCAGCTGGGCACCATCGTCGCTAACGACATTTTCGGCCGTAATCCCAATAACACATTATTGTTATTGTTTTACTTAACCTTCCTATTACGTTTCGGCTCTATTTGATCTACACCTAATTCCATAATATAAGCGCAATTGGATGATATAAGTAGCGTCACAATGACGATTGTGTCTTTTGTATCCAACCAGCATGTTGGTACCTGGATTGGGTGAAATGCCTCGTTGGCACTGGAGATACCAGATATAGTGTGATTGACATATTGTTACACAATTGTCTTTACTTTCACTCGCAAGTTCTTAGAATTATGATACAATTACATAAATGTCTACAAACATTTCGTACACGATATTCGTAAAATAAAAGCTTTCTCTGATGATCGGTAGATAGATAGGTACATGTATTTTAAAATATATAGCAGTTAGCAGGCGTATATGTGAAGGTATTGATTAATTGTATGGTATTTATATATATATACGTTTATATTAGTAGAGTAAAAAAATATTTTAAAACTAATCACATGCAGTTATAAGAAGGTATATGTTCAGACATCAAGACGAGCTTGGAAATTGTGAATATCCTTATTAAGAAATTATCGTTAACATTAATATTAATTACTGTTTAACTCTTTTTGTCACTGCTATTTTATACGTTGGCCGCTATTGGAGGTTACAATACTACTACGTAACGCCTGCTATGTTATATTTCACGTGCAATTGTTTCTTTGTTTGTCTTTTTTTACTTAGTTCACGTGTGACTGTCACTCTTATAACACACCAACAGCTTAAAATGCGGGGAACATTTTTTTTGTGATACAAAGATTCTAAGGTTATCTGCCGCCGTCCCTAACTTTGATCTACTGACCAGAAGGGAAAGTAGCCAGTTAGCAGCACCATACCACCCACCATCCACGCTAATGGACTGACTGTTAATCTTATAACACACCCACAGCCAACTCAAGTCCTAGGTTAAGGATTTACCTTCAAATCGAATATGAAAATATACGAGTGTGTGTTTTACTATTATGTATGCCATAAACACAAGTAAATGCATTATTGACCGATAAAATATACCACCTTCTAGAATTACACCCGTCTTTTTACTACACGGATACACGTATCCGTCTGTTGCACAGTGTAACGTACAGGTTACGAATCTATCCTCGTTGCTAAATACACATACGAATGCTTCAGTTCTGTAGTTGAACGCTCTTACTTCCAAGTAACAGTCTAAACAAATCATGGAATTATTTTTCTTAGCTCCTTGATTGACCAATGCAGGTAACGTATCCATATTCAACTTATCAAAATGTATTTCCCAAAAAATAAAGGTGCACAACGAGCCCATCAACGGTATCGAAACCCGAATTTTAGCGTTATGAGCCCACAGACACTGGAGGGGAGTGCGCTGAGTTTAAGAATAGAAAAACACCACACGTGTACTTAACAATGATCAAGATTATAAAACCAAGATTCTTGAAGGCTGTAAAGAGGGCAAGTACACAATAATAGATATTGTAAGTTTCCTTTGTCTCAAATAGTTGATTCATTGGTTTTTATGAGTTGTAAAAATAAAACGAAAAACTGCTTGCTATTCGATATTCCAGTATTGTTCATATTTTGCTATTCGATATTCCAGTATTGGTCATATTTTGCTACTGGATATTCTAGTTTTGGTCATATCTTACTATTCGATATTCCATATTTTACTCCACTCTTAGTCTTCTCATTTTATTCATTTATTATATTTTAATGTACATCCTATCATTTATGCAACACTATTGCTTTGAAAATTTCATTGTTAGATTTCACGTTCTCGATGAAAAAAAAAAGGTTTTCATACACCATACATTCGCTAAGTAAATATTTATTTAGTTTACTAAATCACTAGATAAAGACATTATGATGTTTCGTTATTGGTCATATTCTGCTATTTGATATTCCGGTCTTGGTCATATTCTGCTATTCGATATTCCGGTCTTGGTCATATTCTGCTATTTGATATTCCGGTATTAGTCATATTTTGCTACTGGATATTCCGGTATTGGTCATATTCTGCTATTCGAT